CTAGTCCTCATAACAACATTATAAGAAATGTTAGTTACCTCTATTTTCTTTCTTTTTTAAGTTTTTATTTAAATTCCACTTAGTTAACATACAGTGTAATATTAGTTTCAGGAGTAGAATTCAGTGATTCATCAGTTGCATTTAACATAGGGCTCACCAGGACAAGTGCCCTCCTTAATGCCCATCACCCATTTAGTGCATCGCCCCCTCCACACCTCCGGTAAGCAGCAGTTTGTCCTCTACAGTGAAGAGTCTGTTCCTTGGTTTGTGTGTCTCTCTCTCTTTTCCCCCCCTTGCTTGTTTCTTAAATTCCACATATGAGTGATATCATATTGTATTTGTCTTTCTCTGATGTATTTTACTTAGCAAAAAACTCTCCAGCTTCACGCATGTCATTGCAAATGTAAGATTTCATTATTTCTGACAGCTGAGTAATGTTCCATTGTACATATATACCACTTCTTTATCTATTTCTCAGTTGATGAAAACTTGGGCTGTTTCTACAATTTTAATTATCTCTATTTTCAAACGTAGCAATTAATAATAAGAAAGAGTGCAATTTCCAAAGTTATTACATCTAGTATGTATCTGACTTAAAGTTTCCTAACATTGGAGTAAAGAACCTAAATAAAGTGAAGCATAACACCATGTGAGGTAGGCCAAGGGAATCACAAGTTCAAGGCCTTCTGGTGGGAAAGATCTTGGAGTTATGGAGGGTCATCATGAAGCCCATGTGGCTAGATCCTAAAGAGCATGGTTCTAAGTTAGGGGAGGAGAGACGGGGGGACCAGTAGGCCGTCTCCATGGCCATTGTGAAGACTTTGGCTTTACTCTGAGATAGGGAGCTACTGGCAGTTTTTGCCTAGAATCATCTTTGGCTAGTAAATGGAAAGCAGACAATAGAGAGTAGCATGAAAGCATAAAAGGAGACCAGTTAGGAGCTGATTACAGTAACCCAGTTAGGCAATGGAGTAGGTTCACATTAGCAGTATTAAGAGTATTATATAGGCAGTGCCTGGAACATAGTGAGTACTTAACAAATATGAGCTATCATTATTATCGTTAGAGTGACTGCAGGTGGATAGTAAAAAGGGAATGAAATTTGAAAATGTTTTTAAGATAGAAGCCATAGAAATTTCTGACAGACTGAAGGTGGATAATCAGAGTGGGAGAAGTCAAGAATTGCTTTGAAGTTTGGCATAAAAAAACTGGGTGAATGATGTAAACTTTTACTGAAGTGGGAGTTGGGGGGGGTGCGGAGAAGTTGGAGGCAAAATAAAGCTCTATTCTATTATTATTTGTAAAAAAGAGAAATTAGAATAATGCTGGAAAATAATATAAATACCTTATTTTTACAGAATATTAAGATATATTATTTTATATTATTCTCATCTCATTCCCCAGGGAGATGTAGAGACCAGGATCCTTTTGTATAGATGAGAAAATCGAGTTGGCAGGAAATGTAAATGGCTTCGAAGTCTATAAATCAGCCAAGATGTATTATCACAGCTAATCACACCTTAGAAAATATTGACTCTACTGCCATATTCAACTGTTATCTCTGGAGAATGATAATGCTGAATTTTCCCTGAAATTTGCTGAAGAGTAATCATAGCTAGCTAGCTAGCCAGCCAGCCACCCAACCAGCCAGCCAGCCAGCCAGCCATCCATCATTCCATCCATCCATCCATCCAACCATCTAATGTATTTATAAAGAGAAAGGGGAATAGTCATAAATTACAAAGAATAGGTTGAGAAATGAATTGAAGGGTGAAGGAATTGAAGCAATTAAGGTAATCAAAGGTAACGTCCTTTGAAGTTTTTAAAAAATATAACACTTTTGTAAATAACAACCAATGTAAAAAAAAAAGCTCTCTATTGTTTTAGGTTTTTTTTTTTTTTTTAGATTTTCTGTTGCATAATCAAGAGGCCAGATAATTTTGATGAAGATGTGCAAATGCCAGATAGTTTTAGCACCACAAATTTCACCTTTGATGAGAGAAGGCTAATCACAGGAAGCAAAATAGTTAACTAATCATAGCACCAAAAATCGCCACATTGAGGTCAATTCACAGAACTTCAGTGATTCAAAGTCTGGTCTTAATCAGTTCTTTTGGGGCGCCTGGGTGGCTCAGTCAGTTAAGCAGCTGCCTTCGGCTCAGGTCATGATTCCAGCATCCTGGGATCGAGCCCCACATCGGGCTCCCTGCTGGAGGGGGGAGCCTGCTTCTCCCTCTCCCTCTGCCTGCCTGCCGCTCCCCCTGCTTGTGTTCTCTCTCTCACTATCTCTCTCTCTGTCAAATAAATAAATAAGTCTTTTAAAAAAACCTCTTAATCAGTTCTTTTAACCTTTCTGTATAAAACTGTTTCCATTACTATAACAGTAATTACAACTGACATCACTTACAAGGCTGTTTTGAAATATAAATAAAAAATTATAAGATATTTGGGGGAAAAAACCAGATCACAACTTAAACAACTATATCAAAACAAATTTAGGTGAACATACGCTTTGGTTAAAAAAATGAAAACATTCATTAGTAGTCATCATTTTCATTACCATAGCTAAAATTAGTTGAATGCCAACCAATACCAGATACGTTACTTCTAATTCTCACAACATTGAAAAATAAATATTATCTTGATTTTGCACCAAAATTCATTAATTTGTGAACATTTATATTATTGGTATGTAGCAGAGCTAGGATTTAGACCCAAAAGAAACTAACACTGAAATTGTGTTCTTTGTCATTATAGTCCATTGTCTAAAATCCTGGGCCAAAGAGAAAAACTAAGAAATAACAAGAAGCAAATGGTTACATCTCTGTCCTAATGGAGTTTAAAAATAACACCCATGTATGCAGTTATAGTAAAGATTCACTAATCACACAGTTCAGTGTATGATGAGAGAACTGAATGACATTGTGAATGCCATGAAAGATCTCTGACACCAGCGGACATGGGGTGACTGGGGTCATGGCAACTGGATACTAAGGAACCGGATATTAAGCTGTCTTAAAAAGAAGAGTAGAATTCATGGAAGAAATAGAAGGAATAGAAAATGCCTTTCCAACATTTGAAAAGAGACATGATTAATAAAAACAGGCATGAGTCACAGCATGCTTGTGGATAAGAATCAAATCAATCTTACTTGAGATGAAAATGAATATTTTTATAGCACTTGATAATTAGCAAACACTCATATGTGTGGGCATGTGCAGAAATAAACTTACATGGACCTGCATGTACATACACATGTATGATCGTATTTGTTCTGCATCAAATTGTAAGAGCAATCATGGAGAGAATAAACCAGTCACTACTGGAGACGGAACTCAATCTATGCCCTCTCACTCCAAAATTCATGCACGGAATTAGTGGAGATATAATCATGAGGGATTTTCAGCTGTCTGCTTCATGGTAAAAGCATTCCCTCATCCCTATTTCTACTGGGATTTACTCTTAATTCCTGAGTGCATTACTATGAGCCATTCACAAGCCAGACCCAGTTCATCCTTCATTCACACCAGATATCGTCTATTCCTCTCAACACATACGGACTTCTATGTACCTGAGTCCTTGACCATGTTCTTAGTTTGGGGTATCTCTATCTATTAAAAGGCTACTACTCCATTAGATCCAACTAAGAGAACTTTACCAGATACCTTATTCTTTAGGGGGAAAAAAAAAACTGAGAAAGGTAGTCTGAATAATGTCCCTGCTCAAATCTCTGCAAATATACTACTTCACATGATGGGGGTGGGGGGTAGAGATGTGATTTTGGCAGTTTGATTAAAGATAAGGACCTTGAAATGGGAATATTACCCTGAATTCTCCTAGTAAACCTAATCTAATCTCATAAATCCTAAAAACTCCAAGAGCAAGGCTAGAACAAAGTATGAAAACTGAAAGAGGGGCAGAAAAGATTCAAATTATGAGAAGGAGTTGATCCAGCATTACTTGCTTTGAAAATGGAATAAGAGAGCCACTAGCCAAGGAAGACTGGCCTCAGAAAGCTGGATACAACCCCTAGCAAGGAAATGGGGAGCTGAGCCCTACAACCATGAGGAACTGAATTCTGCCAACAGCCTGAATGAGCAAAGAAATAAGAGTCTTTCCTAGAGCCTCTAGAAAGGAATGAATGTATCCTTTAGATGGTGTGATTTTCGCTCAATGAGACCCGAGTCCCACTTCTGACCTACGGAGCTGTGAGATAATAAATTTGTGTTCTTTAAAGTCACTAAATTTTTTGGTATTTCATCATGGCAACCGCATAAAACTAATACAGTGGGGCATGCATGTTGTAACTAGGCAGATCTGAGTGTGAATTCCACTTCTCTTTACGCGATTTGGTAAGTCATGCTTTCATTAAATTATATCATTTGTAAAAGGAAGATAATCTTCCACAAAAAAATGCATCTTAACTTCCAAACAGTGTCCTGGTACACCATACATCTATCAACAAATAATGGCTCTCATTATTACTATTACTAATATAATGGCTACTGGTATTACTATTTTAATTATTATTTATTTCTTTTGAGGGGATCTTCATAACACTTATGTTTATCACACTACTATGGCACATAGTATGATTTAAAAAAATAACTGTTCATTTACAAGGATGTCTCTCCTATTAAACTGTAAGCTTCTTACAAAAAAAAGAAGACGACTATGGCTTTCATCTTTGCATCATTAGAGCCTCAGTTATAATTTTATATATAGTATCCACTCAATAAATGTATGTTGAATTGAAACAAAGTGGCATACCCATCTGAGAAGTTTAAATTTTATCTTTCAGCATCGGAAAAATTCAGAAATCGGAAATATTAAGCAGGGGGGTGATGTCAGAATATTGTTCTAGAAAATTTAATCTAGAAAATTTAAACTGAAAAATGAAATTGGGAATGACTAGAGGCAGGAAGACTACTTAGGTCTCAATTAGTTTCTTTCATTTGAGATTTGACACATTAGAAAACTGGCAGATTGAAGTCACTTACTTAAGGCTATATTTTTAACTCTGAGGAGACAAAGAGCTAAAATTCATTAAAAAGATCAAGTCCAATATTTGTTCCACTGTGCAGCATTGCTACTTGTGGTTTAGACTCTGGTGGTGAAGTTAATGCAGAAACCTAAAACGCAATATCACCTGCTAGCCAGTATATCCACTTTCTAAAGTATAATGGAAAATTAACTAGGGACAGCCTCCCCTGGTCCAGCTTAATTTCCAAGAAAGCCCTGATTCAGAGGGTTGAAACTAGACATATAAGCATGCGAAGCTATTCTTGTGATTCTATGCCAATAGTAATTGTTGGTTACATTAGGTCTCATAAGACTCAATAAAATTAAGTATCATGAAGAACCAAGTATGAGAATAATTACTGGAGGCAGTAGCTATGGATAGGGATCATTCAACCTAATAGAATTCTTTGAATCAAAGAGACACACCTCTCAGGAGCCAACACCAATCCACTCTCTCAGTGCATCTGATTGGGACAAACAGACCATGGGGCTCTGCACCAGGACATAGCAAGAATGTGTAGATAGTCAATGAATGAGTCATCTAAGTATTCTAATCACAATAAGGTGAACTGTTGAGTAGCCTTATGACTATTTTTTTAAAACAACTAACCAGGATGTTAGTTGTTCAAATAAACTGGACTATATGCTTCAAAATGCACTAAAGCAAGATATAAAATAAAAATACCTTCTTAAAAATGAAGATTTAATTTAAATTCGGTTATAATAAATGATACATTCTTTTAAGACATGTATCTTGAACTAGGGGATAATTCTTATATGACCTGGCATGGAGACATGTGATATGCAAGATCTGATTGCTGCCTTCTGTGAGCTTAAAATCTTCCTAGTAAAATAAGACATTCATATGTGAAACATACGCAATGAAAACTGGTTTGCAATTCTCTAACACCATACACAAAGATAAACTCAAAATGGATGAAAGACCTAAATGTGAGACAGGAATCCATCAAAATTCTAGAGGAGAACATAGGCAGTAACCTCTTTGACATCGGCCACAGCAACTTCTTTCAAGATACACCTCCAAAAGCTAGTGAAACAAAAGCAAAAATGAACTTTTGGGACTTCATCAAGATAAAAAGCTTCTGCACAGCAAAGGAAATAGTCAACAAAACAAAGAGGCAACCCCCAGAATGGGAGAAGATATTTGCAAATGACACTACAGATAAAGGGCTGGTATCCAAGATCTATAAAGAACTTGTCAAACTCAACACCCAAAAAAAACAAATAAGTCAAAAAATGGGCAGAAGACATGAAAAGACACTTCTCTGAAGAAGACATACAAATGGCTAACAGACACATGAAAAAATGTTCATCATCATTAGCCATCAGGGAAACTCAAATCAAAACCACATTGAGATACCACCTTACACCAGTCAGAATGGCAAAAATGGACAGGGAAAGAAACAACAAATGTTGGAGAGGTTGTGGAGAAAGGGGAACCCTCTTACACTGTTGGTGGGAATGCAAGTTGGTACAGCCACTTTCAAAAACAGTGTGGAGGATCCTCAAAAATTTAAAAATAGAGCTACCCTATGACCCAGCAATTGCACTCCTGGGTATTTACCCCAAAGACACAGATGTAGGGAAAGGAAGGGCCATATGCACCCCAATGTTCATAGCAGCAATGTCCGCAATAGCCAAACTGTGGAAAGAGCCGAGATGTCCTTCAACAGATGAATGGATAAAGAAGATGTGGTCCATATATACAATGGAATATTACTCAGCCATCAGAAAGGATGAATACCCAACTTTTACATCAACATGGATGGGCCTGGAGGAGATCATGCTAAGTGAAATAAATCAAGCAGAGAAAGTCAATTATCATATGGTTTCACTTATTTGTGGAACATAAGGGATAGCATGGAGGACATTAGGAGAAGGAAGGGAAAAATGAAGGGGGGGGAATCGGAGGGAAAGATGAACCATGAGAGACTATGGACTCTGAGAAACAAACAGGGTTATGGGGGAGGAGGGAGGATTGGTTAGCCCGGTGATGGGTATTAAGGAGGACACGTATTGCATTGAGCACTGGGTGTTATACGAAAACAATGGATCGTGGATCACCACATCAAAAACTAATGATGAATTGTATGGTGACTAACATAATAAAATTTAAAAAAAAAGAAAAGAAAGAAAAAAAAAAGAAAAGAAAGAAAGAAAAAAAAAAAAAGACTGGTTTGCAGACTACTGGTCCAAGGCCAGAGTAATAGTCTTTCAGAGTACTTACTGGGGCTGGATGACTGCTGCCACCCAGTGGACACCAGCAGCTTTCAGTGTGCCCAAGCCATCAATAAACCAAGTCCAAGCATCCTCAAGAAATTCCTGGAAGCAGGCACTCATGGTCGTCAAAGCCTTCTGTTATTGGTCAAGGGGGAGGGGAAAGACTCTAAAGATGTACCTGTGACCACTCTTCATAAGGAAGACATGACTGCAGAACCAGATGGCTTCTCTCTTGAAGATACCATCTCCATCTAATAAGAGAAGACTGTTGAACCTTTCCAACTCTGTGGCCAGCACCTGAGTGGCTCCCAACCCAACATAAGACTATCTGGACACAATGTTTCACCTGAGAATCCTGTGAAAGGCACTTGGTCTCCAGGAGTTCCCAACAGTAGATTAGTACCCATCTCTCAAGTGAATGCAGTGGTAGACCTACTAGGTAAGCAAGGAAGCCAGTACCTACAGAGAACCGACACACAGAAGTTGCCTCCCTCTGTCAGAGGCTCCAGTCAGTGTAGTCATCAATGACAGACCCATGTAGTTCAAATGGTACCTTGGGGAATTTAAGCTGCAAGAGGAATGCTGCTGAGATGGCCTGCTGTAATGCCTCCAGCAGTATACACTGCTCAAGACCCCAGCCACACAGGCAATATTTTCTGGTCAACTTGCACAAAGTCCCCAGATGAGGTGAATATTGTCTCTAATATCCAAAGAGTCTAATTAGGTGCCAGCCTTTCTTTTTGGTATTGAGGGCCACAGGGCCAAGGAAATGTTTCTTTCCTATCTCAGAGATCAATCTTTGAGTCTTTTTTATTTTTTATTAACATATAATGTATTATTTGTTTCAGGGGTACAGGTCTGTGATTCATCAGTCTTACACAATTCACAGCGCTCACCATAGCACATACCCTCCCCAATGTCCATCACCCAGCCACCCCATCCTTCCCACCCCCCCTCCACTCCAGCAACACTCAGTTTGTTTCCTGAGATTGAGTCTCTGATGGTTTGTCTCCCTCTCTGGTTTCTTCTTGTCTCATTTTTCCCTCCCTTCCCCTATGATCCTCTGTCTTGTTTCTCAAATCCCACTTATCAGTGAGATCATATGATAATTGTCTTTCTCTGACTGACTTATTTCGCTTAGCATAATACCCTCTAGTTCCATCCACATTGCTGCAAATGGCAAGATTTCATTTTTTTGGTGGCTGTATAATATTCCATTGTGCGGGTGTGTGTGTGTGTGTGTGTGTGTGTGTGTGTACACACACATCTTCTTTACCCATTCATCTGTTGATGGACATCCTGGATCTTTCCATAGTTTAGCTATTGTGGACATTGCTGCTATAAACATGGGAGTACAGATGCCCCTTCGGATCACTACGTTTTTATCTTAGGGGTAAATACCCAGTAGTGCAATTGCTGGGTCGTAGGGTAGCTCTATTTTCAACTTTTTGAGGAACCTACATACTGTTTTCCAGAGTGGTTGCACCAGCTTGCATCCCCACCAACAGTGTAGGATGGTTCCCCTTTCTCTGCATCCTCACCAACATCTGTTTTTTCCTGACTCATTAATTTTAGCCATTCTGACTGGTGTGAGGTGGTATCTCATTGAGGTTTTGATTTGGATTTCCCTGACGCTGAGTGACGTTGAGCACTTTTTCATATGTCTGTTGGCCATTTGGATGTCTTCTTTGGAAAAATGTCTGTTCATGTCTTCTGCCCATTTCTTGATTGGATTATTTGTTCTTTGGGTGTTGAGTTTGATAAGTTCTTTATAGATTTTGGATACTAGCCCTTTATCTGATATGTCATTTGCAAATATCTTCTCCCATTCTGTCAGCTGTCTTTTGGTTTTGTGGATTATTTCTTTTGCTGTGCAAAAGCTTTTAATCTTGATGAAGTTCCAATAGTTCAGTTTTGCCCTTGCTTCCCTTGCCTTTGGCGATGTTTCTAGGAAGAAGTTGCTGTGGCTGAGGTCAAAGAGATTGCTGCCTGTGTTCCCATCAAGGATTTTGATGGATTCCTGTCTCACATTTAGGTCTTTCATCCATTTTGAATCTATTCTTGTGTGTGGTGTAAGGAAATGGTCTAGTTTCATTCTTCTGCATGTGGCTGTCCAAATTTTCCAACATCATTTGTTGAAGAGACTGTCTTTTTTCCATTGGACATGCTTTCCTGCTTTTCGAAGATTAGTTGACCATAAAGTTGAGGGTCCGTTTCTGGGCACTCAATTCCATTCCATTGATCTATGTGTCTGTTTTTGTTCCAGTACCATACTGTCTTAATGATTACAGCTTTCTAATAGAGCTTGACATCAAGAATCATGATGCCACTAGCTTTGCTTTTCTTTTTCAACATTCCTCTGGCTATTCGGGGTCTTTTCTGGTTCCATAATTTTAGGACTATTTGTTCCATTTCTTTGAAAAAAGTGGATGGTATTTTGATAGAGATTGAATAAATGTGTAGATTGCTCTAGGCAGCACAGACATTTTCACAATATTTGTTCTTCCAAACGAATCGACAATAATACAATAAGTGTAGGAACTTTAATACTCCCCTCACTGAAATGGACAGACCATATAAACAAAAGATCAGCAAGGAAATAAAGGCTTTAAATGACACACTGGACCAGAAGGACTTCACAGATATATTCAGAACATTCCATCCAAAAGCAACAGAATACACATTCTTCTCTAGTGCCCATGGAACACTCTTCAGAATAGAACACATCCTGGGTCACAAATCAGGTCTCAACTGGTACCAAAAGATTGGGATCATTCCCTGTGTATTTTTGGACCACATTGCTTTGAAACTAGAACTCAATCACAAGAGGAAAGTCAGAAAGAACTCAAATACATGAGGCTAAAGAGTATCCTACTAAAGAATGAATGGATCAACCAGGAAATTAAAGAAGAATTAAAAAAATTCATGGAAACAAATAAAAGTGACAACACATCTGTTCAAAATCTTTGGGATGCAGCAAAGGCACTCCTAAGAGGAAAGTATATAGCAATACAAGCCTTCCTCAAGAAACAAGAAAGGTCTCAAATACACAACCTAACCCTACACCTAAAGGAGCTGGAGAAAGAACAGCAAATAAAGCCTAAACCCAGCAGGAGAAGAGAAATAATAAAGATCAGAGCAGAAATCAATGAAATAGAAACCAAAAGAACAAAACAACAGATCAATGAAACTAGGAGCTGGTTCTTTGAAAGAATAAGATTGATAAACCCCTGGCCAGACTTATCAAAAAAGAAAAGAGAAAGGATCCAAATAAATAAAATCATGCATGAAAGAGGAGAGATCACAACTAACACCAAAGAAACAATTATAAGAATATATTATGAGCAACTATATGCCAGCAAATTAGACAATCTGGAAGAAATGGATGCATTCCTAGAGATGTATAAACTATCATCAAAACTGAACCAGGAAGATACAGAAAACCTGAACAGACCCATAACCAGTAAGGAAATTGAAGCAGTAATCAAAAATCTCCCAACAAACAAGAGCCCAGGGCCAAATGGCTTCCCAGGGGAATTCTACTAAACTTTTTTTTTTTTTTAAAGATTTTATTTATTTATTTGAGACACAGAGATACAGAGAGAGCGAGCAAGAGAGAGAGAGAGCATGGGCAAGGGGAGAGGCAGCAGAGGGAGGGAGAAGCAGGCTCCCAGGACTCTGGGATCGTGACCTGAGCAGAAGGCAGACACTTATCTGCCTGAGCCACCCAGGCACCCCTATTCTATCAAACATTTAAAGAAGAATTAATACCTATTCTTCTGAAACTGTTCCAAAAAATAGAAATGGAAGGAAAACTTCCAAACTCATTTTTTGAGGCCAGTATTACCTTGATCCCAATCTTTGAGCTTTGATCCTATGTTGCTCCTTACACTCTGAGTTGGTTGTCAAGAACTGAGAAGGGCTTGAAAGTGAACCCTCACTGCAGTCTAGTAAGTTAGCCTGCCATAGCTTTATGGATGCTCTTAGAAAATGCAAGATTCTTGGCTCAGAGATGAAAGACAGTTCAATACTCACAGTATTAGCACTAGCCAGAGCATTATCACTTCTTGTGTTAGTTCCCCGAGTCTGAATTTCCAAGGGGTGATGTGAATAAGAGTACATAGCTCAGGAAACAAACTGAGGGTTGCTGAGTGGTGGGGGTGGGAGGGATGGGGTGGCTGGGTGATAGACATTGGGGAGGGTATGTGCTATGGTGAGCGCTGTGAATTGTGTAAGACTGTTGAATCACAGACCTGTACTTCTGGAACAAATAATACATTATATGTGAAAAAAAAAAAGAAGAAGATAGCAGGAAGGGAAAAATGAAGGGGGGAAATCGGAGGGGGAGACAAACCATGAGAGACTATGGACTCTGAGAAACAAACTGAGGGTTCTAGAGGGGAGGGGGTGGGGGATGGGTTAGCCTGGTGATGGGTATTAAAGAGGGCACACACCGAATGGAGCACTGGGTGTTATACACAAACAATGAATCGTGGAACACTACATCAAAAACTAATGATGTAATGTCTGGTGATTAACATAATAAAAAACAAACAACAAACAAACAAATAAAAAAAGTACATGGCACTTGCACATGTAGTGGGTGGCATTGTTGGAGAGGGACTCTGAGCAACTCACAGGAACTTTCTGACCTCCTCTTCTCCTCTTGGAATGCTAGATTGGTTTTTTTATACAAATGGGAAGCCCATTTGGTGGTATGATGGGCATTAACCTACTACTGCCTCCCTACAAGATGTTCTTTGAAATGCGCAAAATCCCACTTGGACTTGATGAGCATTCATAGCACAAGCAGATAAAACATCAAGGCCAATTGTATGTTCAGCAGCATGCACAATGGAAGATAATAAGAATCTGAATGGTCATACCCAAATGGTTGCAGTTACCTCCCTTCCTGATATCACTCCATTTCCAAAATCCAGCCTACTGAATGCTTGGCTCACACCTGTCAAAAGAACCTGATATTCAAAGAGCATAAACCTTTGTATCTATCACATTCTGCTCCTACCACACTGTATCTTCACTGCAATATAAGGCTTTCTGTTTCACCTGTAGATGGGAAACCTAAGGTCCATCTTGGTTCTCCTTTTTCCTTAAAGACT